TAAAAAAATAGTTAAAGGAGGTAAAAAAAAAAGTGTTGAACCCAAAGTTGAACCCAAAGGCTGCTACCAAGGTGAGGCGATGGATGGTTCTGTGTCAAAAAAAATCAAACACCGTGGCAGAGAACAGCAACAAGGCAAGAACTATGCGGCATGATGAGGTCTTTCCAGGGCAGGTATTTCTAAACATGCAAAGTGCACTACTGTATTTTCCGCCGTACACATCGCACCGCCCTATAAGTCGCATCAGCCCAAAAATGTCTGATGAAGTGGAAAAATCCATAAATACGTCACTTGGGCGTATATGGCGTGTTGATGTGTGCGGCTGACTATCCTGCTCTCACGATGAAGGTTATTTCGTGTTGCCGAGTTCGTTGGTCCTCATCTGCTCGCGCAGACTCATGTTCGTGCTGCTGTTGTTTTGGCACATTGTTTTTGTGCTGTTGGTGCTTAGTGTATTCTTAGTTTAGTGAATGTAGTATACTCTTAGTTCATGACTCGGCTCTTACTAATGTTTTTCTTTACAATTTGTGTTTTTGCTGGTTGTAACTGGGACCCTGTGTACGTAGTTTCATCCCACCTCATGTACCACGTGTGGTGTGCTTGACAGATAAATGTCTCTGGCTCTCTGATAAGTCGCAGGGCATGCAAATTATGTAAAAAAAAAAAGTGACTTATAGGCTGAAAAATAAGTTAGTTATTTAGCCTAGCTAAATCAACTTAGTTGTTTGAGTCTCTTTTTTTTTAAGAATAAAAAAGGTAGTGACACAATCGATCCTTAATGGGGATTTTTCTATTTAGGGTGCTTTTATAGTTGACAGTTTTTTTGTTGTTGTTTTTTTACGGCATTTACCGTTCACACCCATCCATCATCTCTAACCGCTTCTTCCTTTTCTGGTCAGAGGATTCACTGGTGCCCATTTCCAGCAATCACTGTGCGAGAGGCGGGGGGGACACCCTGGACATGTCTCCAGTCAGGGACACAAAGACAAACAAGACAACCATTCACTCTCTCACTCACACCTACGGACAATTTAGAGTTACCAATCAGCCTAATATACATGTTTTTAGTCCGTGGGAGGAAACCGGAGTACACGGAGAGAATCCACGCATGCACGGAGAGAACATGCAAACTCCACCCAGAAAGGTCGCAGTCCAGGGTTTGAACCAGTGACTTTCTTGCCGAGAGGCCACCACTCTACCAACTGAGCCACCATGTCGCCCAAATTACAAATTTGTTTTGATACCATTCACACCCCTCCAGTAAATAAAAAAAAAAAAAAAAAAACAGAATGTCAGACACTGTTTTATTTTGAAAGGGTTATGAAGTGGAAGCTATGGTTATGGGTGAGCTCAGCTTTATTGCTTTACATGCATTCCCCTCCACGCTCATCCATCTGACCAGTGAAAACGAAGAACCCCTGGCTAGCAGAATTATCAACAGACATGTCTCCACCTGGGCAGCACGGTGGCACAACTGGTAGAGCTGCTGCCTCTCAGCGAACAGGTCCCTGGTTCAAACCCCAGTCCAGGGGCCTTCTGGGTGGAGTTTGCATGTTCTCTCCGTGCATGCGTGGGTTTTCTCCGGTTACTCCGGTTTCCTCCCACAGACCAAAAACATGCATGTTAGGCTGATTGGTGACTGTGTCCTTAGGTGTGAGTGAGAGAGTGAATGGTTGTTTGTCTTGTTTGTCTCTATGTGGCTCTGTGATGGACTTGCGACCCGTCCAGGGTGTACCCCGCCCCTCGCACAGTGATTGCTGGACATGGGCACCAGTGACCCCCGTGACCCAAAATGGAATAAACGGGTAAAGATAATGGATGGATGGATGGATGTCTCCACCTAAAACCTTTGTTTCATTAGAGGGACTTTCAGCTGCAGGAACCAGGGTGAGTACCGTAAACCTTCATTCACTGCAAATTCATCATTTCACAGTTTAAAATGAAAACGTGAAACCTGCAACGGTCCTAAACCTTGAAGCAGCAGAATTAGAGGAAAAAATGCTAACATAGTT